GACCATAAAGCCAAGACTTTTTCTATAAAAAAAAAAGAAAAAGATATTCAAAGAGGCTATTATTTTGCCAAAACTGCATAGTAAGTTGTTGGCAGAGCCCATATCTGAAGTAGATTTACATAACTCCAGGCACAATGCTCTGTCTCTATGCCACAGCTGTGGGTAAATATATTCAGACAAAAGTGCACTTCAAACAAATTTTTCATTATCTCTCCAGTAATATTGACAATGTTTACTAGTAAAAATAGATATCCCAATACTACAAGAAAATTTTTTTTTAGTTACATGCATCGTTAGACCATGGTTTCCTTAGTAATGCATTAGCCACAGTTCTTATCACTAGGAAGTTTACATTGTAGTGGTGAAAATGTGGAGAAAGGAAAATTATGCAGTGAGTTTATACTTGAATAAGTGGGCATTAGGGAACCATATAAAAGAGACAACAAATCCAACATTGGTCAATCAAAGCCATGAGGAAATTTGTGAGAGAGGGAAGAGATTTCTAGGCAGATTATCAAAAGGTCTGAAGGTAAAAAAAAAAATCTATGTTATTAAAGGGAAACATCAAGTAATTTACTCTGGGGCTTAGAATTTCCAGAGAATGGTAATAGCTGTTGGGGAAATGTTATGATACAACATATAGGAAAAAGTTAGATGGGGCCAGAATGTATACTAAATGGAGAGTCACTGAAGATTTTTAAACAAGAAAGTGATATGGATGCCATTTTATCTAGTAAATCTCTGTAGACTAGGCATTATATGTAAATTACAGTCATCTGTAATGCTATACATTTTTATCTTTTTATTTTGTGGTTCAGAAATTAATATAGTAAACTCCCACTTTAATGAACATTAAGTTGTGTCCAAAAATTTTGATAAAGTGTAGCTCAAGTTATAGAGGTTAATGAAACCTCAGAGTTCAAAAGCCCTCTTTTGGCTGGCTGCTCAACTGGTTAGAGCACAGTGCTGATAACACCAAGGTCCGGGGTTCGATCCCTGTACAGGCCAGCCACCAAAAACAAAAACAAAAAACCCTCTGTGTGACAGCTGCAGTTTGGCACCAGCTGGTGGCAGTAATTGACTCCAGCTTTAATTTCAATGAGAATGATTCTGGGTGCTCTGCATGGCTGGAATTTTTAGAACATTGGCAGCAATTACAGGAATCTCCCGATAATTTAGTACTATTTTCGTCCTCTCAATCCTAGGATAACAAGGCAGCAGATTAGTCCTGAAAAATATAAAGACCCACCTTCCACCTCTCCATTTTCTAAGTCAGGGATATCAATCCACCTTTTAAATTTTCCTGTTTAACTCCTCCCTCCCCCACAAGGAGGAAAAGAAAGAAATTTACCAGCTCCGTTTATATCTAAATTTGCATTATCACAGGACATATCATCATGGTCTTACTGTCAGGACTTCTACTGTTCTATCACGCACTACGTGACCTTGGCTTTACTCGAAATAATAGAAAATGAGGTCAGGGAGACCATCAGAAAATATTTTAAAATATTAAAAATGAAACCAATGTTTTTGGCTAGGTAATTAAGGGTAAAATATTTTGCTTCTTTTCAATATAAGAAACAAAAGATACAGGTTATCACCTAGGATAACTAACAATTTAAAGCGCATTGTTATTATTTCTTATTCTGGTATGTAATCCTACCATGGGTATTTATTTACATGTGTGCGTAAACAAAAACAGTAAGGTACCATAAATTAGCCTGATTCCTTTCCATTAAATTGGTTTCCCAAAATTTTGGTGTAAATCAATTTTGTATTGTGGCTCCTTTTAATCCGTCCTGATGAGGATAGATTCCCAAGACTTAAGAAAAACATTAATAAAAAACTTTCCCTACACAGCAGAAATGTTACAAAAACATTAAGATATGCAAGTTCTTGATTCCACAAGGGCAGTTCAACCAAAGGTAGAAACTAAGAAAGAAAAACTAAATCAAGCCAGTGATTGAAATCATTTTGGTGATTATATTAATTTATTCATTAAGACAGAATGATACTACCCCACTTTTTACCCCTAAAAGCCAGTTCTTTCATACTTAGAACCCATACGTACCACATTGTAATTTAGAATAGCGTTTTTTCTTTGTACGTTGTAACCAAAATAAATACAGTGTGTTTTCCCATTTCATATATTCACAGTTGTTTGTGCTGCAATCAATCAACAAGAATGATGCAATTTCAAAAAATGAATAAGGATAGATGAAATAATTAAGTACATAATGTCAGTGCCTGTTAATTCTACTCATAAACACAAAATTTTAAATATTATAATTTTTAAGGCAACATTTCAAAATATGATTTGGCAAAGTGATTTAAAATTTTTTATAATTATAAAACTAAAGCTATACTGAAGAACTAAATTAACCTGATTGACACTCAATAACATGCAACTTCACTAGAAAAATATACATCTTCTAATTTAGTTTCTCTGTGTAACTGAAGCTAAAAAGTGCTCTTCAACTGTTTTATTTACTGGCTAATTTCTAGATGTCTGAACTCAGCCCGCACAGTAACAAGCTGGTGCTAATAAGCCATACATAAAGATCCTACTTATTAAAATACAAATTAGGCACCCCTTATGTTTATACATGTATAAGTACAATTAATATTGCAGGCTTAGTTGAAAACAAAATTACTTTAGTTAACCAACCATTGCAATGCAATCAAATGAGATTTCAAATGTAATTGGAAAAGATCTGTTTGGTAGAAATAATAGCAATTATTTCATGCGGAACAATTAGTATTCCAAGCTCTTTTTCCTTCTCCCACCTGCCCTTAATAAAATAATTTGTCCATCATAAGTGACATGAAATGTCACCATTAACACCCATAAGTTGCATGGAGACCTGAAAGGCAGATGGGAGACATAGCTTATTTACAAATATTGGTTTGAACTTGTAAATGCATGACCGCATAAATCTTAATCCATTTAGAGTGTATGCCCTTTGTTCCCTCAATTGTATATTCAGTTGGGAATTGAATGGAGCTGAGGCAGAGTGTGAATTACATGAGCCCTTTGTTGCTGCCAGCGTATTAGTGCTTTCTCTTTTGTTCTCGTTGTTCCTAAGATTTCTCTACATTACATGGTAGGGAATGTTAATCAACATTTTGCCTAAGTAATATTAATGAAACTTGCCTATTTATACTTGAGAGAAGAAGCAAAATATTATATTTCTTTTTGAAATGTTAATGTACCTTTTAGGAAATTATTTCTGACTTCTAAGTCATCATAGTGTTAAATTATTAAAGGATGGCATTAAATAACTATTGCACTGATGCAAATAGTTAAATACCTTAAAAGATAAAAGGATATAAAGTTTAAAAAGAGGACCTTTTGGAAGATGGGAGCATTTAACTCCAAACTAAACATTTTTAAATATTTGGTTAAAATATTGATAAAATTTGCAATCGTATTGTGTGCTCTCAGAAAATAAGGAGAGACTTAATGTTGATGATTTCTGATTTCCAACCACGAATTTGAATTGTACTCTGGCCTTAGAGGATTTATTTAAACTTGTCATATCTATGAAGTAAAGCACCACCTAGTTCATCAGAAAAAATAAAAAGGGAAAAGTGTCTTATTTTTGTACTTTTTACTTACAAGTTTTAAGATTAGGCAATCTTCATTTGGGCTCTATTCTCCAAGTATAAAATCACCACTATATGTCAACACTCTATCGTTCCATAATATTTCAAAGGGAAGGGCTATTGTAAAGATATTATGCATGGTAAGATAAGGAAAATATGAATTCTCAGTTCCAAACTGTGACAGGTATGTGTCCTGTGAACATCATTCATCACGTCAAGAAGAGTACACAGGAAATTAGTTGAAGGGTTCCAAAGTAGCGTAACTTGTTTTTCCTTTAACAGTCTCTTGTGATGTTAATCAATATGTTCATAGGTCCTAAATAAATTGTGAGATAATCTAGGAGAAAATAAAGAACCAGAATTTGTTCAAGAGTTCTCCCTCATGGTGCTTACTATTTGCTAAGAACGCCTAACTCTTACTAGATAGAACACTTATTTTCTACTTAACTATATAAAATTTAGTAATGGCTTGTGTGTCACTGTGGGACTGATTTGTCTTCTTACATGACTTTTCCTAGCAGTGCTGTTACACGGATACATGCACTGATAGAGTAGACAAGAGGGTTAAATTTCAAAATAAATATTTTCACATTTTGACATCTCACAAATAAGAACACATCTTAAAATTGCTGGTGTATCATAATTTCATTGGCTAAATTTTTCTTAGAAATACATAAAATGGATAGAGAGCCTTACAACTGATGACAACTTGGAGTCAATAAAATGTAGTAATAGCTAACATGCACTGAGTGTTTTTGTGTTACATGTTGTGGTCACTCATTACTTCAGTAAGTAGAAAAAAAATCATTGCCAAAATATTAATTTAATGTTAATGAGCTCATTATTAAAGAGTTTACAATTTATTTGGGAAAGGAAATCTTATATCCAGAAAACAATAAAAAATAGTTAAATGAAATGATACCAATTGCATAAAAGGCATCACTACAACCCTCCTGGGCAAGTTATTCTCTCCACATTATTGCTCTTCAGACCACTGAAAAGGACATATAACCAATAAATGACTTGAAAGACTACCAAACAACTTTAATGCAAGGAAGGGAGCTTTTTTGAACAACAAAGTATATTCATAATATCTACAAACATTGTAATTTAATGCTATTTTAAACATATTTTATAAATACAGTTAAGTATGGGAAAACATTAAGAAAAACAAAATTTTTTAAAATATGAAACATGAATAAGAACATTTGGAACAACTTAATTGGCCCTGGATACCCAAAAGCAATTTTTTAAAAAGCAACTAAAGTAGGGCTATTTTTTGACCCCATAACACCAAAAGATTCTATTACTAAAAAATATTTTTAATGTGATCATAATCATCCAAACACAACATGTCAATCTACTTAAATCAAATGGTTAAAAAGGGTCCTTACTGCAAAATCCTCCCTCCACTGGTGGGCTGCTTGAACTTTCTCCGCTTCCAAAGCCAGGCGCTGAAAAAGAAACAATAAATCTTAGAATTCAAATGACCACATAAACAAGTAGTTGTTACATAAAGTGGGTTTTCTAATCAATTATGATGACATAAAAAGCAGAAAACTTCTTATTTATGATTCATAAATTCTAAATCATTTAATACTATAACCTTCTAAAGTTGATGTTTGTGTATTTACGCCTTAGCAATGTAAATAACATACTTTTCTTGAATACCATCAAATTTACTACCTCTGCCATCATAATTAGTAGTGTCCTCTACGAGTGCTTTCTTTCAATGACTAGTATTTCAGTCTCAGAAAAATTTTTATATAAGAGAGTATGCTAATTTTGGTCCAATCTTGTTTTTATTAAATACTTTTGTAGCATATATTTTCATAAGTGGAAATGAAGTGACACTGAGAGATAAAGAAGTATGTGCTATGTTCTAAGCACAATATTAGGCACCGTCTTAATAGCATATTTGGTTTTTACCAAAAATCACAAAAATGTAATAATTTTCTCTTTGCTGAAGTACTTTTAGTAGTTCTTTCAGAGATCATTGGTAAGAGAGTCAGCTCTCTCAGAATCTACACATTTGAAAATGGCTCTATTTCACCTTTAGTCTTGTATGCTAAAGTAGTTAGCTAGAGAATTCTAGGCTATTTTAACACTTTCAAAATGTTATTCCAGTAAAGTTCAGATGAAGGTAATATGTCCAGTGTCAGTCTGCTAATCACTTTTTGTAAATAAACATTCTTTCCCCTCTTCAATAGTTTTCAGATTTTTTCTTTGTATTTTCCGGTTCCACGATCATGTTCTCCATGTGATAAGTTTATGGGTTTGTTTTTTTTGAACTTTGCTTTTGTTTTAAAACAAGAGACCATAACATTTAATGACTAAGAACAGAGTCAGAAACTGAAACACCTGAGTTTGAACACCAGCCCTTGCTACCTACCAGCTATGCAACCTTAGGAAAAGTTGAGTGTCTCCTCCATTGTCTCATGTGAATGTGAAAACCTGCCTCACGAGTTGTTGAAAGGATTGAATGAGAGAAAGTGCTTTACAGAAAGTGCTTAAAACAGTGTCTGGCACACAGTAAGCAATACACATGTCATCTATCCACTTTGAAAAATAATTATGATACCACTTGCTCCCTGTGTCCCCAGACATAGACCCCAGAAAAATAGCTCAGTGTTGAGTTTATCTCTGGCCTGCCTCACAGAGCTAGAAGGCAGTGGCAGAAATAGCACAAACTTAACAGCAAACATAATAAACGTAAATGTAATAAAGTCACTTACTAAGAAAGAGAAATTAGGTTAGGTTTTCAAAAAGTATAAATCTCATAGTGATTTACTGGTTTATGCTGTTTGTGATGTTTCACTAGTCTTCAAGTGTGTGCTCTTCCTACAGAGTCCAGTCGACACTGGATAACAGAAACATCCCTTTACAACAGTTTTTATATTAGTGTATTGGTTCTTATCCCTATAATTTAATATCATAATTTGTTCATTTTTCTAAGCAATTACATAGGTGTTACCAATGCCTATATAATATTGCCTAATGGGGAATCTCAATTTAAGAATCCCTAAGCTAAATTTAAAGGAAACTTTTCCATAGTGTGCTTAAATGACAATGGTTTTGGCTATCAGCTACTAGGCAGAAATGGAGTATAAGAGGAGTTAGTAAATGTTAGAAATTATACCAAGGAAAGTAACCATAGGAATATTCTCTATCCCATCCACTAAAACAAAAAATGAAACAGAGGAGGGCTGACCCCATGGCGCACTGGGGAGAGTGCAGCGCTGGGAGCGCAGCAGCGCTCCTGCCGCAGGTTCGGATCCTGTATAGGGATGGCCGGTGCGCTCACTGGCTGAGCGCGGTGCGGGTGACACCAAGCCAAGGGTTGCGATCCCCTTACCAGTCACAAAAAGGACAAAAAAAAAAAAAAAAGAAACAGAGGAAAGACAAAAATACAAAAGTATACATTTTAGTAACACTGCATCACAATACTTTTAAAAATTCCAATTCAAGTGAAAATGGAGCAAAAAGGTGGATAAAATGGCAAATGGAATGGAAATGGAAGGAATTTCTTTATAGGAAAACTTTAGCAGGGGAAGATAAAAAAAGAGAAGACAATGAGAAAATAAACATGAAGGCATATTCTTGACAAAATTCAGAAGGGAAGTCTTCTCTAAATTTTAAAGGGTGTAAAGAACAATTAAACTTGCATATGCATTGGGGCAAATAATAAACTTAAGAATTTCACGAATTGAAACAAAGTACTGAATAAAAATATTAAATTTGTTTAGATTAAGAAATATTAGAACTCTAACGTGCCTTTATTATGTCTTGGAGAGGAATATTAAGATTTTTCCTTCACAACACAGATAAGGAGGATGCTGCCCCAGCAAACAAAACACTCTGGCAGACATTCACCCACAGGACCATTCATGGTTTTCAAGGCTACCAGCTGTAACCACCAAACTCTTTCCTCCTCTGGAGTGCATGAGAAAGTGCAACTTATCTAAACTGACCAGAATTACACAGTTTGTGACATGAACATAATTTATGTTTAATAAATTAAATGCCACAATAAATAATAATAAATTAAATGCCATAATGACAGTAATCATTACATTCAACTATTTCCAAGAAACAGAATAACAATGGCAACAAACTATAAGATAATTTTCCTAGGGGCAAGAATGTTCAAATCAGCTTTATGTCTTATACATATAAATTTATCTAACACTAATTTTATAAAGTAAATGCCATGGGTATTGCAAGATTCTAAAAATAATTTTAGAAACCTAGAGAAGTTATAATATACAAAAAAGACATATATTTTAAAAGGTTTGTTTGAAACTCAAAAGTTGCTAAATTTTGTATCCCCAGCTTAGAAATCTACAAATACATCACCATGAAAAATGCACTACAGTTGTCATCCTTTTCATGAAAAAATTAGTGGATTTCATGAAAAAGCATAATATTGAATTTTATATAGTCTGTCTTAACACTAGTATAGACAGTCACTGATGGTGCTCTTTCTTGTAGCAAAATACCAGCTGTTCATTAGTTATAGAAAACTGACATGTCTTCTAGACACTTCAAGCCTCTAATTAACTTCTGTTCTGGTCAAATGACATTTTATTTTTTAAAGCCAATGAGCTACCATTAAATGCCAGAGGCAAATTGTGTTAAGACTGATAAAATCCCTGTCTAATAAAGTGTGAGTATTTGCTAGGTAGAGCATTGCCATTGCCTTAGGTGGCTATATAAGAATAGTCTGTAACAATAACTTATTTCAGGATAAAGGAAATATATTTTTCTCATTTAATTTATAGTACAGTATAATATCGTAACATACATGGAAATTAGACTTTGCACCAGACAGAAACAAAGAATTTGGCTCAGCATAAATACCTATGAGAAAAATTTGAAGCTTAATTCTGCTCATATTAAGATAAACCAGGGCTGCCCAAGTTAGCTCAGTTGGTTAGAGTGTGGTGTTGTAACACCAAGGTCAAGAGTTCGCATCCCCTTACCGGCCAGCTGCCCCTCCCCCCCCCAAAAAAAAAATAAGCCAGAAAGGTTCATTAAGTGGCTATATAATAAATAAGACATGTATATATGAAAATCCTTTAGATATGGAATAAGTATATATTCAATGTGATAGATATGTGAATAAGTACATCCCTACCTACCTATTGGTTTAAGCATTTAAAATAGAAAATCAGTTTTAAAGACTCACAACTTTAACAAAATAGACTTGGCCCTAAACCTTCTGACTCCAAAGCTTATGTTCATTCCACAAGACCATTCTTTAGCTTCCTATAAAACCCATTTTTAGTTTCCTATAAAACCCAAAGAACCCAAGTGTTATCATTAGACATTCACAATATATATATATGAAGACGTAGTAATATCAAAATCCAAACATGGGTAGAAATCTATTTTAGGTTAATGAAAAGTTCCCCGATCTTTTAGAAATTTATAAAGATAAAAAAAAAAAAAAAAAAAAAAAAAAAAACAACAAAAATCATGTTAGTTTGAGAACTGTCTTTACAAAGGTCTTGTCCTCAAATCCTGAGAGATTATTGCCAATCAGTGAAAAAGCTTTTGATATGCAGTGGTCTGCAGGGGAAAAAAAAGAAAAAGAAAAGAAAGAAAATAGCAGAGGTTTAAAAATTTAAAAAAAAAAAAAAAAAAAAAAAAAAAAAAAAAAACAGCAACAAAAATCATGTTAGTTTGAGAACTGTCTTTACAAAGGTCTTGTCCTCAAATCCTGAGAGATTATTGCCAATCAGTGAAAAAGCTTTTGATATGCAGTGGTCTGCAGGGGAAAAAAAAGAAAAAGAAAAGAAAGAAAATAGCAGAGGTTTTATCAGATCGGAAAAAGATCAGCTCCCTTGAAGGCTTATTCATTCTCAGCCTTCACTTTTTGTCATGTCTTTATCTCTCCACTACCATTGAATTCTGTCAAGCGATATGAAAGTCTTACAAAAGCAGTAAGATATAGTGTAGAGAGATTAATTCTACCATTCTAATCAATAATACTTAAATATACTTTCTCTTAGAAACAGACTATTTTTCAAACCTGTAAATAATTTGCTTCCTAGACTGTAAATTAATTGCAGGTTAAAGATAAAAGAAGTTTTCTGAAATATTTAATTATCAGGAATTTTTCTTTTGATAGCCTTGAAAGGAAACTGGCAGGGATTATATGACAGTTCAGTTAGACTCCAATAATTTTCATACCCATGTTTAAATATCAAGAATTGACTTAGAAATACCATTCAAACAAATACTGCTAAATTCCAAAACAATTCGTTGGGTACTATATGTCAAGATATTTCTTTGTTATAAAGGGGTAATCCAGAATAGATTAATCCAAGTAAAGTATGCGTATGTTATGTGATTAATGTTCAAACGGTTAACATCCAATAAAGATGTGCAAATTATTGTATTATGTCTATGTTGACAATTTAATTATTGCTCTAGTGAGTTTTACCTATCT